GAGGTCCGCAAATCGTTCGTCAATTACGTGGAAACGGTCGTCGATCCTTTGAAACCGTTCAGCGGCGGAGTTGTCGTTCATGGCGTTTGCTCTCTTTGGCGGCATCGTGGATCGTCGGCTGGTCTGCTGATACCAACTTATGTAGAGGATGTAATCGAGAGGGAAAATACGAACTCAAAAAACACCAGATATCTTATTTCAATCGTGAATGAGTTTTTTGTCTGTCTGTCACGTACATAAATAAAAAGTTCCCCACTAACTCCACTTTCTACATGATAAATCCTACTAATTAAATAAACCACCCCATAACTAATAAAAATGACATAACTGCTAATACTAAATAGAAATAGTACAAAATGAAGTAAAACGGTAAAATAAATATGCTAGACACGCAAATGGTCATAATGCTGCAAAAACGCCAATGCGGCCTCGTCTCCATCACAAAGCAAAAGGGATTAGCGTACATTTTATGACAAAGGGGGAGACACGAGCATTAAATAAAATTCATATTGCTTGAATAATATAAAATTGTAAAAAAAAAAATATTATTCAATTATATAATAAGATTACCACTATTTTAAGTTTAGTAAACCTGTGAATTAAAATTGAGGTAGTTAAAATTACATGAGTAAATGAATAGTGAATTAAATTTGGTGTGATGTTTAAGGATGATTGATTATTGTTATTTAATTATGTTGATAATATTGTAGATAATGAAGTTGTGTTAAATTTGAGTTAAAGTGACTACAAAAATTAGAAACCAGTCAAAATCGATTGATCCGTTACTAATCGATACCTTAAAGATTTCTTGAAACTTTGAGAATTCTTGGTGTATTTACTTTGAGTTTTTCAAGACTTCTAAAATTCTCGAGGTATTCATTTGAGATTCCAAAAAGACTAAGGGGATGCTTGGATATAAATTATTGTGATTTGTTTGATTTTTTTTTTATTTTTTTTGTTTGGTGTGGTTAATTTTGAAAAAAAAAAGTGGTATGATTAGTTGTTAGTAGGATTTTGAGTTTGTATTAAAATAATATTTAAAGTAAAATAATTAAAATTGATTTGATGTAAAAGTATGATAGAGATAATATGAAGTGATGGTAAGTTAATTATGACTGGTACTATTTAATTATATTGATAATATTGAGGATATTGGTCTTGAGTTAAAGTTGAGTTATATTTGAGTTAAAAAAGTGACTAGTTAAAAATGATTGGAATTTTTATAAAAATTTGTATCCAAGCATCCCCTTAACATATCACGAGACAAATTAACTTATTTGATACTATTTAATAAGGTTGGTGTATCCGATTAAGATTTCTAAATAGTTTTAAATATTTGAGAAATCCTGATGTATTTAAATTAGACTTTTACAAACTTTTAAAAGTCATGAGGTACTCATTTGAGATTTTAAAAAGTCTTATGAAACCTAAGGTGTTTAACTTATTTGAGAGTAAGATGTTTAAGACTTAAGATTTGTTGAATTTCAAAAGAAAAAACACTATGCGAAATCTCACTCCAAAACCACCCCATACTCAAGATTTAATAAATTCTTAAAAAAAAAAAACTAAAATTCTTAGAAAGTCTCAAAATGTCACTCGAAATTTTAAACGAATGCACCCACTTATTTGAGATTATGATTTGTTAAGACTTTTTAATATTTTTTGGAATTTCAAAAGAAATAACCATATACGGAATTCACTATAAATTTCACATATAAACTTAAAGATTTTAAAGAATTCCCCATAAATTTGATAATATTAAAAAGTCTCAAAATATCATTTCAAATCCCAAACGAATACACGAAATCCCACCCCAAATCTCAACTTAAGGGGGGTGTATTCGTTTGGAACTTTGAATAACAATTTGAGACTTTTTGAAATTCCCAAGTTTATGAGGAATTCTATGAAATCTTAAGTCTGGATGTGAGATTTTGTATATGTTTTTTCTCTTGAAAACACAACAAATCATAATCTCAAATAAGTTAAATATCTCAGAATTTTGTAGGAATTTTTAAAATCTCAAATGAATACCTCGAGATTCTTAAAATTCTAAATTAAATACACCAGATTTTATGAAGTTTCAAAAAGTCTTTAAAAATCCTAACGAATACATCCTAAGATCTTCAATAAAACATCTTAAATCACAAAATATTAAAAAGTCTCAAATCTCAAAAAGTTTTAAATTGTCTCTTAAAATTCCAAACGGATGTACTCTCATTAAGATTTCATAGGATTTATTCTAAATATGGAAATCTTAAAAAAAGTTTCATATTTAAAAGTTTTAAAAGGTCATTCAGAATTCCAAATAAATACACCCATTAAAAAAAAAATCAAATGTGATAAATAAAAGTCATGGAATTTTATATATTTTAAACTAATTAGTTTAATTTACCACAATAAGTCATTATATATAAGAAAAATAACATAATTGTTTTTTATATATTTTAGTTATTTATTTAAACTTGAAATAATCACCTACCAATAAAAAACTTGTTGTTATAGAGATTGCAAGTATCTAATTTAGGGCTACAGACGAGTCAAGTCGAGCATGATCTTATCGAGCTTAGATCGAAACTTTTTCTTAAGTATTCGAGCTCGACGAACCATGTAAAATGGTGCACGACTCGACTTGTGAAAAATATAAGAATACTTGAACTCGACTTGGCTCGAGAGTCTGACTGAATGGTTGACATTGTTCGAGTTCGGCTAAAATATTTGACAACGAAACTTTAAATATAAGGGTACTTTTTTTAATCTAAATAGACTGTATAGAGTAGTTATCTATATATATATATATATATATAAAGAGGAGCAACACAATTAATAATATTATTTTACTTTCCCTCCAAAATCGGTTACAAAACATTTAATTTATTTAATTTTTCTTTTTTTCTTTACTCATCTGAATTGTGTAACGTTTTTTATCACCTCTTCCCTATCAATCACATTATGTAACAATCATTATTTGATCTGATCTGGAAGAATTCATACTTATTTCCTTTTTAAGTTTCATTTATCTTTGATTACATAAAAATAGTTTTATACAATAATTCAGATTCCAAAATGACGTAATGCTCATTCTTCGGTATGATCTGATAGGACTCATGCCTATTTCCTTTTCACTTTACTTATTTATTGAATGAATGTAACAAAATAATTATTTATATATGTATTATATATATATACATATATATATATTCAACATTTTTTATGTTTGAGTACGTAAAAATGATTCACACAATAATTCAGATTCCATAATTATAAAATTAAATAATTAAGAAATAAAACTAAAAATATCTAGTCATCTATTTAAATATGTATATATATATATATATGTATCCACCTACAAGAAAAATAATATATCTAATTGTATAAATCATTAATAGTGAATTATATTTCAAACACCAATATATCTCATTATCATATTGCCATATTCTAATTTTATATATTTTTTTTATTCTCAATCCAAATGTTATGGTGCAATATTATGTTTTTTTTTCAAACGACATCAACATACTCATAAAAAAGGCCAAAATGGCAATGTACACAGACGAGCCCGAAGCCAGGAAATGGGAGGTTACACACACAACTAATGCAACCTAGACGGAATACCAACTAGCAAAGTTAGAACGACCAGCACACTACAACACCAAACTAAACTACAACCACAACGAAAAAAGACATAACAAACCCCACCAGGGTAATACCCGAGTGTAAACTTCCAACAGGAGAATAAAGACTACACTCGGGCAAAACAGGGACCAACGGCCCAAACCAAAAACACAAACCAAAAGCACAAAGACTGCACCAACACAAACACAACAATCACACAACAAAGAAAAACCAAAACATAACCAAAACATAAACGAAAACGGAGCCCTTCCCTGGCGAACTGAACTAAACTCAACCAACAATGACCGACCGACACAAAGAAAACCTCGAGACCGAGAACTACTACCGAAACTGTACGAACGCCTATACAGCAGGTGAACTCAACCCCCGAGACAATCCTGAATCGACCCATCTCTGACCGAGAGAGTCCCAACCAGACCCCACGCCAGCCCCACCGCACTCGCTAACACCACTAGCCAAGCTCGATAGGACCCAATCCTCCGCCGCCTAACACAACTAGCCGACCAAGGAAAAAACGTGAGTGGCTGGGGTCCTCAACCCCAACTGCCGCACCAGACCGACACAGCAACCGGGACCCCGCGCCACTCATCGGCTCCCGCACCCCCCGGCACCACCACAAATTGCCGAAGTCCAACGGCAAAATCCCACCCAAATAGGTGAAATCCCCGCCGGAGAACTATAGCCCAGCAGTCACAAAGGAGAACCAAAAAAAGGGCAAACCACCGCAAACCAGAGCACCGCCAACAATCGAAGAAATAGCCTCCAATTGTCAGTCGAACAACGGCCGTGCGAGTCGACATCTCCCACCGACACCCCATCAACGACCACAGATCGGACCACCGCACCCCGAGCAATCCACGACCACATCGAAGAAGCGTTGCACCAGGAGTGGGCCAAGCAGTCAAATATTATGTTACTAATGTCATTTAACTAAAAAGCATTACATAATCAAGAGATGTCAAATTTTCTATGGCGTTATATTAAAATATTGTATATAAAATATTTTCTAGTAATATTTAGAATTCTTTTCGTAATTAACATTTTTTCTTGAATTAAATTATGATTTAGTATTTTTGTTTTTCTTATTTTCTTATTTTCTTTTCTATGAATTTGTATCTGTGCAAATAAACAAGTTGATTACTAGTGTAGATAAAAAGTCGAATTGCTCGTCAAACTTACGAGCTCTTAAAAATAACACGCAAGGGTCAATTCGTTTGCTCGATTGAACTCTTCGAGTTCCACTGAAGTCCGAGTTTGACCGAGCTTGTGTCAAGCATTGAGTCGAGCGCCTGCTCATTGATTCTTGAGCATAACACGCTTCTTCAACGTGAAATAAAATAAAAAACAGCATATAAAAGTGGCTTCTCAAATAAAAAAAGAAGAAACAAACTTACAGACGTGACAGACGCCGTCAACTTTACTGAGCTCGCCTGGAACAGCCGGGACTGAAAACAATCGCCGCCTATCTCTTGGGACAACCGCCGCCCCGCCGGTCCATTTACTTCCGACGGTCTAGCCCTATTTTGCCCTTTCTTTTCACATATCATAATTCTCAATATAGATTATACGCCTGTATTTTGAAAGATTCCTCATACAAAGTAGCGAACATCTTTATGAATTTTCTCACCCAAAAGTGATTAGAGGTATTTTACTTCTTAATCCTCATGCTGGTCGCCTTCTTCTCTTTTCATTGTCCACTTTGGAGTGTAGGTATAATTCGTGCTATCACTTTTCATCAATTTGAATGCTCGGCTTTGTTTTTCCCCTTTCAGCCCCATCTTCTTCGTTTGGTAGTGAATAATTTGTGATTTGCTTATGTAACCTTTGCCTACGAGATGAGATATGACATGCCGTTTTCAAGGCATTATTGGCTCTCTTACTTGTGCCTATACAACAACAACAACAACATAGCCTTTTAGTCCCAAGCTTACTTGTGCCTATGATGTTTGATATAATTAATTTTTGTTTGATACTATTATTGTCTCCTGTAGTTGATACTTAGAGCAATACAAGTGCGAGCATATTTTTAAGTTGTTTTCGCCTTGCATAGCATTGTTGTATTTTTTATTTTTTTTTTTCCTTTCCTCCATGGAGCTGTTTGCCTGAACTTGTTGCCCTTGTGTTGCTTATCACATCAGTAGCTATGGTGATGATGCAGGAAGAGTTTGATATAAATGGTGATGATGCCAGAAGAGTTTGATATGTATTTTGTCTAGAAAGGGATGATGCGGTACTCATTATCATCCTCCCGTTAAACTATCACAAACAATTGGAAAACCTGATTATAAGATTATTATATATTCATTGTTCAGGGATGTTATCGGGGAAAACGACATCAATCAATATTGACGACTTCGTTAGATTTTATATATTTTCTAAATACAGACGACAATTAGTAAGTGTGATTTGTGTATTTTTCTAGTCAACTGAATCAACTAATTATTTTCCAGGGTTGATTTTTAAATTATTTTATTTGTTGGAAATCTTCGGCACCGTGGAGAAAGATGGTGGCAAAGAAAGGAAGCAAAGGTGGAATGGGTGTGGAAGATGCAGACGAGGAGCTCACACGTGTCCCTCTACAAGCCATCCTATTAGCCGATAGCTTTGCAACACTATTCCGCCCAATCACACTTGAGCGTCCAAAAGTATGGTTTCTTACTTTTTTACGGTTCGTTATATTGTTATGAAGTTGTACTAAAATTTTGTTGATTAAGTTTATGATGCTTAGACTTCTTATTTATGGAAATGAATATGGTTCATTGTCTTTTAATTCCCGATTGTTTAAATTTGTTGTGTAGAAGTGCGAGATAATTTAGGAAGTATACGTATGTGAGAACTAAAGAGTTGTGTGACTATACCACACATGCGTTGCTATTTTCTATAGATTGCACTCAGTTATACACTTCGTCATTTGACTGGAGTTGCCGTGAATGGACTGACTTTTATTTGGCCATGATATATCCACTTTTGATCTGACTCCCGATAATAGGATTCGTATATGACTTCTTTTTTTCTTTTTGATTATTTTCAGGTACTGCTACCACTAGTTAATGTGCCTATGATTGACTATACTCTAGCATGGCTTGAATCTGCTGGAGTTGAAGAAACTTTTGTGTTCTGTTGTGCTCACTCCAAACAAGTGATTGACTATTTGGAAAAATCAAAGTGGTTTAAGCAACCAAACTTTTCAGTCACTACAATAGAATCACACAATTCAACAAGTGCTGGAGATGCTTTGAGATTGATATATGAAAAGCATGTGGTACACAATCTTCTTTCTTTTAAATATTTTGATCCTTCACTATATTCTCCACCTTAGTAGCTAATATCGTCTGCATAATCCATTTTTTCTTTTTTGGTATCCAAATCCTTTAACTAATAGAAGTTGTATACTAATCAGAAAGCCAGCTACTGCTGATATCACATCGCAGGCCAACACTAGATAAGATTTGGAAAAAACTGAATACATTCCATTGATCTTGTTTATGCCAGTTTTTACTTGGCTCGAGATAAGTGAGTGTAAATAAGCTTTTAATGCCTATGCGATAGCCTAATTTAAAAGGACAAATGTTGTTTGTAAAACTTATAATATCTTTTTAGTCGTCCTTTAAGTTTAGGACAAGCTAACTTTGCTATTGTCCCCCTTTGCAGATTCGTGGAGATTTCATCCTTGTTACTGGAGACACAGTTAGTAACATGTCACTTACCCAGGCTCTTAAAGAGCATAAGGAGAGAAGGAGAAAGGATAGTAACGCTGTAATGACAATGGTCATTAAACAGTCAAAACCATCTCCAGTAACTCATCAATCTCGTCTTGGAATGGACGAGCTGTTTATGGCCCTTGATCCTAATACAAAACAGCTCCTGTATTATGAGGACAAGGCCGATACATCGAAGGGCATAGTCACTCTGGATAAGGCATTGTTGACTGACAATTCTTCTCTATCCCTTCACAACGATAAGCAGGTTGCATGCTTTGTTTGTTTAGTATTTTGCAGCTTATGTTTCTGCACTTAATTCATATCAATTGCTTAACACTGCTCCTGAAATGTAGTTAAAAGAAAAACATGGTAGAAGAATCTCTCTCTCTCTCTCTCGGAATTTCATTTACTGTTGCCTATTATTTGATGGTTGAGAAGTAATATACTGATGATTCTATCACTGTTGTCTGTGTTCACTGCAGGACTGCTATATTGACATTTGCTCCCCGGAGGTTCTTAGTCTCTTCACAGACAATTTTGACTATCAGCACTTGCGCCGTCACTTTGTGAAGGGTCTCCTTGTTGATGATGTGAGTATTAATATACCAATAGGACATGTTTAGGTTAGTTGGAGAAACTAATTCACTTGTTCAAACTGCTACACTAGCACTCAAAACTTGGGATGAAGAATCTCCACTAGATTATGATATGACTCCATCTTCTTTCCGCATTTGACAAAACTAAATTTGTACAAGTATGCATTATATAGCCATTCGCATATAGGGACTTTCCTGGAAAGTATGGAACTTCGGCATAGCTTAAGCTGGTGTTTAAACTATCTTAACTCTTATTTCTATTAATTTAAGCCGAGTTAGTTGTTTCCGATGTAAAATATTGGCATTCATCATATGTGTAAATTTTAATTATAATTTCTTTGTCACTGGTGTGTCTCTTTTCCACTCCCCATTTTTTCCGTTTCTGCTGATTTTGAGGTGTTTTGAGTTTGTTATAAGTTGCAACCTTATTGTGATAGCAAGCTCTTCTTTTCATAAGCTTTTATTTTACATCTAACTATATTTTTCTTTTGTTTAGATTATGGGTTACAAAATTTTCACCCATGAAATTCATTCAAGTTATGCGGCTAGGGTTGACAATTACCGAAGCTATGACACAATTAGTAAAGATATAATCCAGAGGTGGACCTACCCTTTGGTGCCTGATGTTCAGTTTTTTGGTAACTGTGTGACAAGGCTAGAAAGACAGGGAGTGTATCGAGCATCAGGTGATAAATTCAACTGTGTGAAACTGTCTAGTGCTTGTGTTAGCCGTACATGGACTGTGCCTGACGGGAATTTGTTTCTCATACCTGTATTTTGGACTTGCAGGAATGATGGATTTGTGAAAGGATAAATATTTTTGTTCTTATTGTCCTCCAGTATATTAAAGATTCTTAAATACTCAAGAACACTTTTGGATTTATTTGCTGATTAAATTTACCCAGGAGTAAGTGGAAGTGAAATGTGATTGAAAAGTGATGTGGTTGGATGGTCTGTGACATAGAAATAGGATACAAAATTTAAGCAGGAAGTTTGAGTAATATGTTGCCTATCTCATACTGGAAAACGCATAAATACTTGGGAGTTCATGTTTCAAGATGTCATTAGTTAATGAAAGCCTAAGTAGAGCTCGCAAATCATGAAAATGTCAGAAAATAATATTTTAGCAGACTTCAAATCATAAATATGTGTTCTGTTTAGTATAGGTGGAGTTGGGCATGATTTTTTGCTAAATTGAAAACAGTAGCAGAGTTATCTTCTTGATATGTCTCCCTTTTTTACCCCCTTGATTTATGACTTTCGCTACGTAGCATATAAGTATCCCTGCTGAATTGTTATACATTCTGTATCTTCTTAATGATGTTCTTAAACTTGACTTTACAGATGTAGCACTATCACGTTCGGCGAAAATTGGCCCCTTTTCAGTTATTGGAAGCGGCACTGCAATTGGAAACTGTACAGAAGTATCCAATTCAGTCATTGGTGAAGGTTGTATAATTGGGTCCAATGTTTCAATTGACGGGTGCTATATTTGGGATAAGGTTACCATTGAGGATGGATGTAAACTAAAGCATGCAATAGTTTGCGATGGGGTGATCATCAAATCTGGAGCAGTTGTTGAAGCTGGAGTTATCTTATCTTTTAAGGTATTTTTTTTCTTTTAGTGACAAAACATCTGGATCCCTTCCGTTAGCTATGATCAATTCTTTTTCTGCAGTGTCACATGTTTATGAATTAACTATTATTTTTCTGGCTGGGTTGGAAATTCAACCTGTGGTTATCGATATGTTGGAAATCATTATTTGATTTGTATTTGCAATTTTTGTTAGAGTAATAGAAATTCCAGAATAATTTTGTTTAGTCATATCCCTTGAAATATATAATTTTGACTACAGAGCTTGGCATGATCAGAGTATAGTAATTCTTTTATCTTTTGAACATGTAGTGCATAATTTAGGTTATTAGGGTGCAAAACTGTTGCTTGTTTCCCTTTCCAGCGTAACTCTTTACGGAGTACGTGCTGGGCAACGAATACTTATGCTTTCCTGTCAGACTCAGATGACCAAGTTGTGGTACTGGTTTTTATGAAAAAATGAGTGCACCTGAGTTTTGCCGAAATTCCATTTGTTTTGTTACACATCCTCAACTAGCAATTTGACAGAGTTTGTCTGGGATATAATCAGACCCATTGTTCGATTGTTTAAGTTGAGTTTGTATCTAATGCACTGTTGTTCAGGTCATAATTGGACGAGGTTTTGTTGTTCCTGCTTACTCAAAGGTTTCTCTGCTTCAGCAGCCTGTCAAACAAGACAGCGATGAAGAGCTTGAATATGCTGATAATAGCAGTGGGACCATGGAAGTCACATGTAACTTCTGAACCTTATAAATAACTAATTCTTTGCCACTTATCTTCCTATAAATCAGTAAGTTTGTTATGTGAGCATCAATATTACCTATGTGACTCACATGTTATTTTGAAAACCGAACATTTCATTTGACAACCGACCATAGATAATAGTGAATTTAAAGAAGAATTGTTTGCACTAGTTATATTCCTTGAAGTATAATACCATCAAGGGATGTCACAGTGCATTTCCTGATACAAATGGATGCATCTAGTTTCTTTTGGATGTTTTCAATGATACTATGTAATTTCCTATGGATCTTCCATAATGCTAGTTTGTTTCTTTCTGAAAAGCATGTTTGATAGTGGAAGTGACTTATTAGTTTGGTGTGGTCTTGCAGATACCAAATCATTTTTTCAAATTTTTGCTAAAGTACGACTAACAGTAAAATGCATTGGAAAGTGTGCATTTACACATTCAGATTTTTGTGGGAGTTTTATGATCATAATATTTTCCTTGATATGCAGCAATTTCTAATACTCCTGAAGTGTTGCAAGACGAAATGAGGACAGAGTTGTCGGATTCCCAAATAAAGGCTGCATCAGAGGTTCCATTTATAGTTCTTCGTTGATTTTTTCCCTTCAACTTGAACAAGTGTGGAGGCAGCAATTGACCTAAATTTATATGTTGCCCTATATTGAAGTTAACGACTTTAAAACTATTTCATATCGTTATCTTTGTTTATTATTAGCACCCACCTTTTAAGGGTCTTTGGTTTTCACAAAGAAGCTTAAAATATCTAAACAGAAGCGAATTTATTTCATACATAAGCTCATGGATTAGGGAAAGAAAAAATAGATATTTATGGAAACCTAATTGGCACGTATAATTTATAAATCCATTTTTTCACATCTTGGCATAGTCTAATCATGCTATTGGGAGTTATTTTCTGAACGTTTTTAATTTTTAATGAAACTATTGGTTAACCCTGGTATATTATGTGAGTGTAGATGGTTCTTTGCTTAAGCAAACCCCATCTTAGTGGGCTTGAAACTTACAATTTCAATCATGCTCATTTAATTAAAGACTTATAAGTATGCTCAATTCAAATGTACTTCTGTCCTTTCAGACCATGAAATAGGAACCTTTGTGTTGTAAAGATCAGGATACTGACATATGTTAGAAGATTACGTTATGCTCTTTAATCACACAATCATTGATCAGGTTGGTAATGGTGGGGTTGGTCACATTTGGTCGGCTGGTGAAGGGGGGTTTGCAGAAGAATGGAGGCACTCAGTCGCCCCAATAACTTCAGAACGTCTTGTTGAAATTTTGGAAAAAGCAACCGAAGAACTGGAAATAGCCAATGAAAATGGCAATATAATTCCACATTCTGAAGAGCTGGAACCTGATTCTGTTAATGATTCTGACGAAGATGTCAGAGATGATACTGCCCTCTTTGAGAAAGAGGTGCGTGTTCATGATGACGATATTTGAATGGTTTTTAATTCCAAATTTAATTTCTTTTATTTATCAATTATTGCAGGTTGAAGCAACTTTTTTAAGGGGTGTGCATGAAAATGTGAAAGAAGACCATTTAATATTAGAAGTAAATTCACTAAGGTATGATGTGTCCTTTACTTCCGATCTCCTCTCCCTTTTCTTTTATGAATTATTGTTGCTTTAAAAATTTATATTTAAGTTGTTTGTTTTGGGTTCTTGCTAAAGAAGATCTCATGTATTGCTTAAACAAGATGACTAACTTAACATGTATGGTTTGGACCAGTGAACAAGGATTGAGATAACTTCAACAACTTCATTGACAATATATTTTATTTATTTCACAAATCACAAATCTCTTGCTAAAGAAGATCTCATGTATTGCTTAAACAAGATGACTAACTTAACATGTATGGGTTTGGACCAGTGAACGAGGATTGAGATAACTTCAACAACTTCATTGACAATATATTTTATTTATTTCACAAATCACAAATCTCTTGAGCTATTAATATACATGGATCATGGTGCTTGGCTACCTTTTCTCAAATCTGAATAAAAGTTCTTTCTTTTTTGACATTTCCAGTTGCATCTTTTTTTTTTNACAAATATCTATCCCTGATTCGAGATCTCCCGTGTTCCCGAGGAATATGGTCTCAACTTTACTAATCCTTTTGTTCCTTGGGGAAAATTTATCTATTCTGCTGCTTGATTATTCTCTAGAAAATATCTTATAAGTTAAATCCTTACTCGTTATTCCTCAGGTTATCGTACAATCTGACTGCTTCTGATTGTGCTGGACCATTATTCTATGCGATGATGAAATTAGCGGTGGATACTAAACATGGTTCACCAGGTAAGGTTTCCCGTTCTAGCAGTTGTTAGAGAATGTCACTAATTAAGTGCTATTATGACAAGACCAAATCTGTATGTTGCTGTAATAACTGTGATATTAGTTGAAATAGCTTGTCTTTGAACTAACAAAGGTTAGAGCTTTGTTAGACCACTTTTACAGACTGGTCACGCAATTAGAAATGCTTTTTATTCTTTCACAAGCTGAAATTTGACTGTCCTTGCCACCCTGTGACTATGTTATTTATGAACTCAGGAATATGTGGTGGCAGATGAATGTTATTGTAATGATTTTCTTTGTCTGCTTAGAGCCGAGCAGGGAACTAATTCACTTAAAAATTTACAGTCATTTCAACATTGGCCACCATTTTTCTCCTTAATGGATTTGACTGTTTGGATCCAGGATTCTGCTGGCATTGCCTTCATGATCTGAAATTTTATGCTTTCTTGCAGGAGAACTTGTTAAAAATGTTGCAAGTGTGATTGGAAAATGGAAAAGGCTTTTGAAGTATTATTTGCCTGGCATAGATGAAGAGGTTAGTATATGGACAGGTTCAAGTTTTTCAGTTACAGAGCCATTTATACCTTCTTACAATTTCAAGTTGTGTCTATTATCTGGGCAAATGATTTTTCTTTCGGGGACTAAAACTGACCACCATTTTAAGTACTCTGTTATTTTTGTTTTATTTTTCATCTATCGTTATGTGATAGAGTATTTGCATGCTGTAACATCCCATGTTTACAGCTACAGTTTGAAATTCAGATTTGTCTAAAAGTGGTTAAACTGCATAAGGGCAGTAATTCTAGTTCCTCTTTGTTTGTTAAAAAAAATGATAATGCAAAGACCAAGTTCTATTGCTACTTGCTAGTCAGTTTCCTTTAATTTTAATATTTCTTCGGATTTGACCGAGTATACCACATTTATTTTGCTGAGACCGAGCTTCTGTTCACTTAACACTCTCATGATTGGTGACCTCATATATCCCTGTGAATCTAATTTGAATTTTGAAATAAGACTTATTATCCATTTTATTATACATTTCAGATTGAAGTGATCTTGAAATTTGAAGAAATGTGTTTAGAGTCCACCAAGGAATACTCTTCGCTCTTTGTACAGGTAAACTTGGTTTATTGGGTTCATGTACTTTTACTGTGTGCCTGAGGTTAAAGTAATTTTTTCTGAATGCATTTTTTCCAACTCCCTATTTAGTATATTACATTTTATATGTTGCTAATAAACCTGAAGATCTAGGTATGTAAAAATGAAAGGAAAAAAAAAAAAAATAGGAATAATAGAAAATGAGAATTGCACAAGTAATATGAAAAAAATTCCGAATGTTTATCTTGTAGTGTCTGGATTAGAAAAATGCTATTTTGTAGTTTTTTGCCCATTAAAACACATTCAATGATAAACTAGTTTAAGTTACTTTTTTTATTCTCCTTTGTGTCCCCCCGTAGATTTTGCATCTTCTATATGACAAAGATGTTCTACAAGAAGAAGCTATACTCAATTGGGCATCCGAAAAGGAAGAGGCAGATGAGTCGGATAAACTTTTTGTGAAGCAGGCAGAGAAATTCATACAGGTTTGTGACTTTTATAAAATGCTATCTTGTGATAAATGATAATACATTTGTTTAACTTAAAATGAGATACAAAAAAAAAATAAATCTGATAACTCAAATTCTGAATAAATGTGACACATGATACAATGCAGTGGCTGAATGAGGCATCTGAAGAAGATGAATAAACGGAGATGAGTATATGCTGTCTTATCTGCTCTCGAGACCCAATTTCACTCCGGAAAACACCTTTGTAGGGTCATTTTTGTCATTTGTTGCGAGTTTTTTTTGGTTCAAGCTTGCATTCATAACTTGTGTTGTGATGGGTATCAATGAAATCAAGTTTTGCCTATTAGAGAAATTTATGATCTGAGACATTCCTAACATCGAATTACAAATTTAAAATGTGGCTTTCGAGCAAATATGTAATAACAGTCTTAACAGAAGTAAAGACGGTAACTCTTTCTGGAAATTGCATGCTTGGAAACATTATTATCATAAAATGGAAAGTTAACAAAAATGGAAACATTTATTGCGGTATAAAAAATTAAAAATAAAATAATAATAAAAGAGATAGTTTCATAAAATTTAAATGGTAGAAACGGGGAGATATGAGACAATAAGTAGGTTGAAAGTTGAAACCACATCTTGATAAGTACTTGGTATTTTCCAATTTGAATGAGAAATTAAAAATGGCTTTAGAAAATGGACAACAATTTTGGAAATGAATTTATAGCAGTAAAGTTAATTATTTTGAGATTAAATAAATTCTAAAAACAATTTTGTAACATGAATTCATAGATCTTGAAGTTATAAGTTAATTTAGTAGATTCCTTCAATATTACTAGTACAGAGTCCGTGCGATGCACGAGATGCACAATTTTAAGGCTATTTATCCAGGCTTATAATTATATACATGAATAAAGAAAAATGTACGGGATATATATAGTACGTGACCCGTGCAAAGCACGAGATATATATATTTGGAGAATATTATATTATAAGATGCAATATTCAATAAAAGCTTATAATACACAAGAAAATTGTACAATGTTCAATAAAAGTTTTATAATATTCAAGTGAAGTCTTAAAGTCTCTTGTACATTAAGACTACTGACAAAATAATATTTTAATCAATGAGTTTCCTTTCCTTGTAGCCAAATTGTGAATGTGATTGAGGAGTACAACAAATCGATATATAGCTGATTTGAGGAGTACAACAAATTTTTTTTTTCTTTTTTCTTTTTAATATGAGCATGTTAGGGCTAGCTTGTAAAATAATTAATATATTATCTCACTAAAACATTTATACTAATAAAAATTTAATTTTAGCATATAAATTTATCCCTTGATATAAGAGAAAGTAACAGTTTTACTTATTTTTGTTCACCATATAATATTTAATTATTATTTTATTATATAATAAAAAAAAAATATTGTTAAATAGTGTAGTAGAATTGTTATACAATTATATGATTTTTTTTACAATATGGATTTAATAGTTTTTTTATGATTTGATAATATAAACAAATCTATACTTAACTTTGACAAATAAAACAAATAAATACTTTAGTAAGTATTTAATGTATATACTAAATAGGAATATATTTGGTATAATCAAATACCAAATATAATCAAATAAGTCAAAGTGTACATTTTTATTTGGTATTTGATTTTTTTATTATTAAAATCTTTTTACTATACTTACCTTTTTAAAATAAAATAAATAAATAAATCAATTAAATAAATAAAATATTATAATACCAAAATAGTAATGACATTTAATGCAATTGACTTTTCTGGATAGTAAATATAGTAAATAGAATCTCCTTTTATATAAGTATAGATTGTATAATACGGAAATAGTAATGCAATAAATGTTGTTGACTTTTCTTTATACTGAATCTGGTAAATGGTATACCTCTTAATTAGTGTGTACCCCGTGCGATGCACAGGAACAATATTAAATTAACAATATTATAAATAGATCTCGAGTTTGAGTCACTGACGGAAGTGAAAACTACTATTGATCCTATTTAAAAAGAGGAAGAAAAAAAATTAATTATAAAGTAAAGATGAGAATAAACAATACTTAATAATTATAAATAAAGATTCGGGGTCAAACAATGTAAAACTATTTTGTATAAGAAAATATGAAATTTACATTATTTTGTATAAGAGAATATAAAATTTATATGTTTAATATTAAAAACACCTACAATATTATATTAGTATATATGTAAAAGTATTCAAAATTTTCTATATTATTTTTGAAAGATGTGAAGTCACCTACAACTTTTCTAAGCAATTTTAGAAGGAAAACATATCTAAGAACATTTGAATATAACATTATGTAAAAAAAAAATTTCTAGACTATTTTGTAAAGAAAACATGTCTACAAATATTTAAATTTAATATGTGTATATGTACATATATATATATATGCGTATGTTCTGTATAGTTTTTTAGAGATAATAGTTATTTGTTTTAGGAAATGAATAACAAACTTAATATCATTTTTGAATATTGATAAAGTGTATGAAATATCTTCTCACGGATTTTGTTTTTGAATCTTAAAATTATCTCAAATATCTTCTCCTTGTAATACGATTTTTTTTCTTCAATTTATCGTTAAAAAAATATGTTTAAAAGGCGTGTGAAATGGGATTATTTCGTTACCATAAAAATATGTGATAAGGATGCTAGTGTGAAATGGGATTATTTCGTTACCATATTAATGAGACGTGTGAATTGGAGTTATTTCATGAGAATTAAATCGGTATAATTAATGAGTTTAAAAGGCGTGTGAAACGGACATAAATGCTAACTTAATAAGCCGTGTGAAATGGACATAAGAGTTACCGATTTTAGAAAGTAATAAATGCAAACTGACTTTGACCATTAATTAAGTTACTAATTTTGATAAATATTAATTCTTATTATATAAGTATAGATACAAATATAGATGTAATTTAATATTATTTATTAAATTTAGTCAATTTATTATGGCAAGTAAATTTACGCAAGAGCATTTCAAAATAAGGTAAATGAGCAACCAATTTTTAGAAATACACTTTTGTGTATTTCCATCTGGGGTGTTTACAAATATAAGAATCAAATGGAAAAAATGAGAATTTATGTTAGTCAGATATATCAACTTGACATATTGACTGTAAGCCACAAAAAGACATGAATATATGATAATATTAATAAAAAATAAAATAAAATTAATTTCATAATATTAATAATGAGCCATAAACTAAACAAACAAAATAATAACATATCCATTATGTTACCCAATAAAAATGAATTTCAACCATGTGAAGAAAAAACAATTGATAGAAGAGGAAAATTTCATTAAAAAAAATTAGATTTATATAACTAAGCTTTTGCGTATAATGAAGGAAAATAGGATATTGAATGTGGACCGGATTTTCATACGCCAAGCCTGAAAATATGGAGAGGCATGAATAAAGTAATTTATGGAAATTGCCAAAATAAGGAAATTATATAGGGAAAGAACAATCAATCACCATTTTTACTAGTACATCAATTTATGGAAATATCCGAATCTAATTTGTTTGATAAAAAAATATTAATTTGTATCATAGCTAGAATACGAAGCATGATATTGTGACAAATAAGACTAGCACCTAATCTCTAAGTACTAAGATAAAGTATTTGAATAAAATATGAGAAAATGAATGAAACAAAGTTAGTTCATCGATCATGTAAGAACATAGAATAACTGAATATCAAAATAAATCTAAAAACACAAATTCTTAAACTCTCAATTGAATGCTCGAATAATGATGAACTTTGGATCTTTCAACATCCTTCAATTGATCTTCAAGATGGATATATGTAAACTTCTTGGCCGTGAAGTCTACTTCAAGCAATTTCCTTTTTTTTTGTGATTTCCTTCCAAAGCTTGATTGTTTAAACATGGTAAGTAAATATTCTTCCTCTCTCTTCTTTCTTCTTGACTCCAAGCGTGCGAATCTCTTACGCCATGCACACATCCGAACCCTGCAACATATAACCGGAAATAAATCATACAAAATCTTATTAATATTCACAATATAAAAACCGATATACATATATATAAAATAAATAAATAAATAAAGATCTTTTCTTTAATTTCCTTTGGCTTGCTAGATTAAATCTTCAATATATTATTTTTTATCTTCTTGCCAAAAATAAATCTTTCAGAAATTACTATTATAGCAATTGTGTACAAAATTTTAAAAGGTTTAGTTATATCAAAAAATAATTAACTAATGTTAATAAAAAAACTTGCTTAATGAGTAAAAAAAATAAATAATTTAAATAAATAGTTCGAAAAAAATAATTTAGATTAGAATATCAGATAATGTGACTTTATTATTTGTTAGTAGTAGTTGTTATATAATAAAATGAATAAAAATTAAATACTTAATGCAAAGTAACGAAAAATTGAGGAAAAACTTAAGAGTTTTATTAAATTTGTTTCTAGCAATTATATATACTAGTATTCGTCCCTGTGCACATGCACAGAAACACAAAAATTTATATATTATATGTACATATACAATATTTAAAATTTTAAATTAGATAATGGATGTATTACATTTAAATTTTTTTAACTATACACAAATGTACAATATAAATATAAATTATTTAACTTATATGTGAAACTTTATATTGATGACATAAATTTTAATGGACAGTGTAATTTTATAATTTAGAGGGACCATACGATTAACTAGTTAGAAAAGTATTACAACTACTTTTAGTGTTGTTATAGTAATTACTTATGTAATTTTAAGGAGTTTAATTATAACACTCATGTCAATTAACTAATATTAGAGAAAAATCGCTTAATAAGACGAAAAATAATATTTATTATAGAATAAGTATCTTAATAAAAAAATTACAATATAAATTTTTATAAGTATGTAACTTTCACATACTATCTAATGTAAATTTATAATTAGCTAGTATTAGTAGTAATTATTATATAATAAATTAGTTTAAATTATTAATACACTTAATTAATATATAATGTAATAGTTCCACATTAATTGAAAAAAAGAGAGGTTTTTGGATGGAAAAAAGAAGAGAGGTTTTATTAAATGTATTATTTATAGATTAGCCAACAATTATATAATATATATATATATATATGTATATATATTACGAAGCATACAAGCCTGCTACTTAAGCTCAACTTGTTATAAAATTATATATAAGGGGATTAATGCAATTCAAGCCTAATTATTATTTTATAAAAAATACTAATTTATAGCTACAAAGTATGATTTTTTTATGCAAGTTAGGTTATTGGGCTCAGTGGAGCTTTCGTTTGTAAAACTTTGTATTGAGTTTTTATTAATATTTTGTTTGGAAAAAAAAAAAAGAGTCTCATGTTCAAGTGTTGGAGAGATGTTACTTTGAAAAAAAGAAAAACGAAAAAAATCGTTTCATAAATTTTGGTCTCTCTTTCTCGGGAAAACAGTGAACATCTTTCAGAATTTTCACATCCAAAGGTGAGACTAATTTCACTTCCTTCTCAATTCTCCTGCTCGTCCCTTTCTTCCCTTTTCCTTTTTTTCCTTGTGGAATTTAGATATAAATTTTTGCCATAAATTTTCATCAACTTGAATGCTGGGCTTCGTCTTTTCCCTTTCTAGTGTCAGGCTGTTTTGATTAATCACAGTGAAGAAAATGGGACAATGGGTTTTGTCGGTGGGTCGATGAGGTGTGGGATGTGTATAGTATTGCTGTTTTTAAGTTGTTATCTCTTTTGTGGCATTTGATCAAACACTTACCGTGTTGTGTTAAAAGAGTTGAAGAGAGCCAAGCTAAGAATGAATTCGTCCTTAGCTTGATTAGAGGTTATCGATTATAATTGGAAAAAGAAAAAAAAGGAAAGAAATTTGAGCTTAAGATAAACTTCTGTTGTATCTATATTTCGTATACATGTATACCGTCTTTAAGAGTTAAGTGTAAAGATAGTATTGTCTTTTTTAATGATGTTTTATGGCTTTGGTTTAGGTTGTGTGAAGGTAAAGCATTATGCTTCCAAAAATATATGTGAGTTGGGAGGTATGGTTATATGCCAGAAAATGATCGAGTGTCATACTGTGTTGTATACAACATAAACTGAAGATTCGAGACATAACTGTCGAACCGAATATATTTTTTATTTATATTCTCCTCCAGAGATCGGTTTGTCGTGGATAAAGAATATGTCCTCGTTACTTCTTGTTTAGAACGTCTAATTTGCAGGTGCATTGCATTTTTAATTTTCGACTTAGTTTAGACTTACACAATGGGACATTTGAATGGTTCTTTTCTTGCTTCCTGTCTCCACTTGTGTTTGAAATTTTTGTTTATTTGATGTCTTTAAGTTGATGGGGTTGCTGAATGTTTCTTAGGTAGTAACCGAAAAATGGCAACTGAGAAAAGCCTCCCAAACGAGAAAACGGTATCATCTCAGCCTCAGTCTTCTTGCCGGAAAAAGAAGAGCGAGAGTGCCACTTTCTTAGAAGACGTGAAAGACCACATCGACGAGTTCTTACATGCTTCTATGGATGAACACAAAACTTGCTTCGAGAAGACAATTAAGAAGGTTCCTTTTTTCCTAAACTCACTTCCACTTTTTTTCCACTTTTTTTTTTTTTAACATGATAGCTCATAGTTGGCTAAATTGCATTTTTATTCTAAAATTTAACCTTTTGGTCTTGTGGTTTAATATTTTACTGCAATTAAAGGACTGAAATTGATTGAAATTGCAACAAATTTCCAAATTTATTAATTTTTTATTAGAAATTTAAGTCCTGTAATTTAAAATCTTGTTGCACTTTCAGTAATTTAAAATTTTTGTTGCAATTTCAATATTTAAGGATTGAAATAGCAACAAAATATTAAATCACAAGACCAAAAGGCGAAAAGTTGGAACCTTGTGACTAAAATTGCTATGGCGTTAAATCCACAAGACTAATTTTTGCTCTCATAGTTTCGTTTTCATACCTCATGTACATTCTTGCTGCCTTCTTAGATGTTCAGCATGTCAAAAGTTGTTGCGGAAAGAAGTTATGAGACAAAGGAAGTAGAAAGCATTCTCCCTCTTCACACGACTGTAGCCAAGTAACGAGCCTTGACTTGATCCCGTGTTTAACTTTTTTAAATAATTACGGCGTATTGCAGTAGATTTTATGGATATGCGAACGTGCAAACTTTTGATGGTTCTGCTTTATGGATAATATTTTCTGCATTTGGGAGTATTATTTCAACCATATTGAAACTTAAATTGAGAACAAAATTGATAATGAATGTTTGTTTTAAACACCAAAATCCTATCATTTCAACCATTTCTTTGTCCCGTTTTATAATGAATAATGAATATTATGCAAACTATGTATATACCGTGGCTATGTTTGGTAAACCTAGTTGATTCAGCGTAATAGCATTTAAGTGAATTTTGAACTGATAGCTTATGACTTATGGCTGAAAAGGTAGTTTATATGATAAAAGTGTTCCGTAAAATTAGTTGATAAGCTAAACTAGCTGAAATAAAAATTTCAATGGACTTATTTGAAAAGCTACACGAGAAAGCTTATGAGATAAGTTCGAGCTTTTTAAAAAAACTCATCCTACCAAATCAATAAGCTAAACAAATAAGCTATAAGCTAGTTTATATGTTTACCAAGCACAACCCCATAGTTTTCTATAACCCCAAATCAGCCTCAGATGAGCTTAACAACAAATATATTCTCATAACCGAATACAATATTTGATGCTGTGACTACAGTCGATTTTCGATATAAAGTATATTGTATCTAATCTTCATTACACATACAAAAATATTCAGTCATGAGTTGGAAGTACACCACTGCAGAATATGAAGAGAATAAAAAAGGAGTAAATTTGAAACAACTCATAATTAACTAATTAAGTCATGACTACAAAACACAAAAAACACAAAATCTAATCAAAGTTTACAGCATTTATGCAGCTTTCGCAGTACGAGCCAGCAAAATGTATGAATCCAAGTCCTCTCCATTTTGAGTCCTTTGACATGAATTCATATTTTGTTGAAATTTCATCTTTTTCATGATCTCCCTTCTTCTATCATGATCAGTTTTCCTGCAAAACAATTATTTCCAAACCAAGAAAATTTATCAAATTAGAGGCCCAAATAGAAAGGGAAAATTTTGACATAACATTTTATCATTCAGTTACTCTTTTGCAGTCATTCTTAACGGAAAATTCTATATACTAAAAGTAACTGAACCAAGTTGCTCCAAAATGCACGATTCGGCTCCATTTTTTGTTTTGACTCGTTTTTTTTTATTTTTTTATTTTTTATTTATTTTATAAATATATATTTATTGAAATGGCCATGCATCAATCGATGCAGTTTTTTCTTTACATCTTTTTTATCCCTATTTTGTTTTGTTTCACCCTCTTGTGAGCTGTTGTTATGTGGTCTGGGGAAAGGAACGTTGTAATAAATGTTTCTAACCGGCACCACACAACCTTTGAAAGCTAAAATTCAATGTCAGTTTTTGATTTGAAGCCTAGACATTATTAATTCTACTCCAGAAATTCACTCTTTTTGGGCTGTGTTTTGTGTTTTCCCATTATATGGATACTTTTCCAATGCTATTTTTGTGTAACATCACAGGGGAAGGACCAATACTTTTCAAAAATATATAATAGTAACCAAAATGTTTATTGAGAGTGCATGTGAAATGTCTTTTTTTTTTAATCGAAACGATAGATTTTATAGCTCAAACCAAGAATATACAATGTCGAGGGCCAACTAGCCCGATAGACTTACAATAAGCAAGGCTGAGAGAAGCATCAAGTAATGCTCTAGAGACTAATAAAATACACAAAAACAGAAGTTGATCTCAAACCAATATAGAATATAGACCGTATTTTTTTTTTTCAAACCATATAGAGATACACCATAGTTTTAAACTCAAACCGGAAATTGACCAGGGCAGGTCAATTGTTGAACCGAATAATTTATTTTAAAAAAAATTAAAATTGTATATATAGTATTTTTGTCATATAGTAATAGAATTAAATGTTTTGTATATAAATTTTGTACATCAAAGTATTAATAATATTGTATCACATAATAGATATTTACCATAAAAAATATATATACATAGTTTTTATATTTAAAATAAAAAAATATTAAAAAACGAAAAATAATAAAAGATTATAGGGTGTTGATGCTCGAGTCAACCAAATCAATGTTGAGTTGACCTACTTTTTACCTTGTTTGATCAGCTGAATCACCACTCGGATCGGTTCCGACTCCTGATAAACCGGGTCTCAAGTCGACACGTCGGTCCTAGTTAGAAAAAACTATGGTTAGATACCTTTATTGACTTCCTCCAAATTGAATAATTCACATATATCTATGAGTTTTGAGTATTTATAAAATTTCCTTATTGAGATTGCTTCTCAATCAATAATAAAAGCAGCTCAACGGCTTGAAAACAATTATAGTATTATATTTTCAAAAAGTTATTAATATATAATTAGTTATTTTGATAATTTTTAGGCCAATTTTTTATTAATATATTGATAAAACTTAATTATTTTATCAATTTTCCTAATTATTATTATTATATTTTATATGCAATATAAATGTCCAACTGAAAATTAGAAAATATAAATAATTTGATATATTACATCCAAAAATTGGGTGACATAAAATATTTATCACGATTAAAAATACAATAAGAAAATAAATTGGGAAACACATAAGAAAAAAAAGAAATACAATAAGAAACCATTTTTATGGTAATATGGCAATTTATACCAGGCAAACATAGAATGGTAACAAATAAAGTGAAAATAGAAATTATTCTAATTAATTAAAAGAATCTCACACTCACTTTCGATGGGCCAGCTATTGGGCCATACTTAAGAAGTGAACATGTACATGAGCCCACGGAACACATGTGTGATTGTAAGTAAGTCTACGAATATTTCAATAATAAATAAATGAATAAATATACTCCAACGATATTACCAGTTATCACGGTAAGAAGGTGATAAAATTTTCAATGGAAAATTTTCAATAGAATTACAACTATATTTTCAATATATATTCCAATAATATTTAATATTTTGTTTAGAATGAAATTTACATTGAAATTTTTGTTGGAATGTGACAATTTCGACGATAAATTTTATGGTTTTAACAACCTTTAACAATAGTGTTTTGCGGCTGAAACCAAACTCGGTCCGTGTGAGTCCTTTCCAAATATTACAATCTCACCCCTCATACAATCTACTATAATTAAATTATAGAAACTTTGAAATCTTGTACTAAATTAGACTTGCTCTTACACCACATTAAATTTTATTCCATGGTGAAGTCGGTTGTCTTCAGACCTCCCCCTAGGTTCAGTTTCTTCATGGAGTTCGTCCCAGACCACGATGATGATGCCTTCTGCTACCGCTTGGACCATGACAACGAGTCGGGCTTGTTTCAGGTGCCTGATCCACCACTGGTGCTGCACCATGAGATAGATGTGGAGGACCACACGAACTTCTCGTTTGACAGGCGACCTGTGAAATAGGATTTTCAAAGTTCAGGAGTTTATGGTGAGTTAGAAGCTACAAAAATATTGAAGTGCATACATTAATAATAGTGTAAATGGTATACTTGTGTACCTTAGTTGAGCCACATGTATGCACTTAGTATAGTAAAGATGCAAGTGAAATGAGGATTTAGACCATTTTCACTAATCTACTCTATTATAGTGTAGAGTTTACTCTATGGAGAAGGTTAAAATTTAACTTTTGTCTCTAGTCGTTCGCGTTACATTTACTCTGAAATTTATTAATACAAAACAATATTTAAATACAACTGTAAAATCAAAATTTAAAAATTAACAAGATAAATAATTTTATTGATGTATATTTTGTCAAAATAATGTTTATAAATAAAAATCAATTACAAAATTTTAAATATGAGGAAAAAAAATGTAGCGGGTTGAATAATATCGCGCTACATTTAGCGAGAATACCATTTACATTTTTAGAGTTGTACGAAAATATTGCACGACATTGAAACAATTTTTTTACACTATAAATTAAAGTTGCAATATAAAGCAACATTGAAGTTGCTCTTACATATTGAATGTGGCGCTTACATATTGAATGTGGTGCAACATCAATTTTTTAGTTTACTATCCTATATGATATAACTAAAGCAAGCATATATCTCTTGTGTGAATAAAATCTCGGCGATAATTTCATCTTATCGATGTGGGTATTGTCCAAATTTTAAGTTGTCGGATTACATACATGTTCACGCACAACTAGGTAATGTAACAAAGAGTGTAAACGAGTTCAGCTCGAGTTCTTAACTAAACTCAACTTGTTATCTAAATGGGTCTCACGCACAACTATGTAATGTGACAAAGAGTGTAAACGAGTTGAGCTCGAGTTCGAATATGTTCGAGTCCTTAACTAAACTCGATTTGTTAACTAAATAAGTCAATAATTGATGTTGACTCGTTTATCAATATTAATGAATTGAACCTTAACGAACCGAATTATAAAAAAATCTATAAATTTTTTTTCTTTTCGAACTTTATGAAGCGACTCCATGATCGGGGACATTTCGTTTAACATCCCACACGAGTAG